ACACACACACACACACACACACACACACACACACACACACACACACAAAAACAGTCACACTAAAACAGTCACATCAAACCACAAGGAGTTACAAAACAAAATCTTGTTTTATTCTCCATCTACCATGTAGGAAATATGTTACATAAATGGGATGTACATGAAAAATAAAAAACAATGAAATATCCCATTCACACATATAGTGTCTTTAGGTAGTGAGATCCATTCATGCACTGCAAATGATCTCTCACACACATTTATTTTACTGTATTGACTGTCCTCTGGTAGGGCTAGACTTGACCCGGTTGTGCCTCTCGTGTATTACATTTAATCCAATCCTATTTTTTCTGAACAATAAATGGTGATCTTTGAAAAACCCAGAAGGGCCACTAACTGAAACATGACAATAGAAACATTAATCAATTAAGCGAGTACTGTGGGATTCTTTGGTTGCGTCCTCCTTCCCACCTGTTATTAACAACTTACGTTGTGCAATGCTTATTTAATCTATTGCCTAAGTTGCAACTCTATTTCCTTATCTTCTGAGCAGAAGTGTTATTGAAAGACCTTCTGGGCTTTTTCAAAGATCACAGGGTATTTCTATTTCACGAAACCTTGTGAGCACTGTGGCTCGAATGTAATGAAATGTGGAAATGGAGAGAACTTGGGGCTATAGGTTGGACTTGGATCAGTTGGGCTCTTCAGACCAGACTGTTTAGTCAAACAGTGCCTCCAGCTGCAGCGTCTGAGGACTGTTGGGTACACGAGGATTTGGAAAGAGCTTCTGATGACCACAATGAGCAATGGCAGCAACCTTTAGGGTTGAAGCCAGACTTTTCCTATTGCTGGGTCCACACAGTGCTGTATGTTTACATTTCCTGTTATTAAGAGATCATTCACCCTCATCAGTGTCTCAGCCTTCAGGTAATCCTTCAACATTTCACCGTCCTCCATGTAATCTGAATTATTTTTCACTTCACTGTCAAGATAAAGACTTAGATAAAACATTTAAAAATGATGCTGGTATGCCAGTGCCTCGCACCATGGGTTTGAAATGAAACACAGTGGTGTTACACCAAGACGTGGTTATCTGTCGGCTACATGCTTGAATGGCGAGTGTACACATATAGCATATTGAAGAAAAGAAAAAGAAATTCACATAAAAAAAAGATACATCATCCAAACTGTTCTGGCTTGGAGTCCACTTCAAAATAAATACTTTTGCCTTTACAAACAGGCGCCATCTTATCTTAGTGCTTCAAAGTAACAATATCAAGACAAACAGCTCGATACTAAAACTTCCAAACTTTTTACCCCGTGTCTAAAAGGTAAAGTTGCCTCTGTGACCAGACTGTAACTTCAGCCATTCCTGGCAGCTTATAACATACTTTAAAATAAAATCCTTTAAAATGTGTGTCTGCAGAGCAAGTGTGAGATTTCAACAATGTGTTGATGTGATTGTGAGTCGGCAGAAATACACGGGGCACGGACGCAACGCGTCACAGAGACGAGGCCGAGACGTTTTTTTCCCGTCTAGCGTGTGGTCGTGTGACAGCTTCACTTTGAGTTTTGCCAATTATATAATGCAGTTGATTATTAACTGGTGCTGAATTAATTAACTGGATTGTTTTAACTACAGGTTCACGAGAAACACTTTGATGCGATTGATTTATTGTAATGTGAAATGTCGCACTGTCTCCGGTACAATGAGGTATTTCTTTAAACTATTTTTAAACCGATGTACTTGTTTTTTAAGCAGTTTTTTAAAGTAGTTTTTGGGCTGTGTATTAAAAAAAAAGTTGTGTAAAAATAGAGATGAGCAGTGCCACACCTGCAGCTTCAGTTGATTGTAATGGATGCGCTCGGTCAAAGCAGATGTGTGGCACCTCGGCCGGGCTCCGTGTATTTCGGCCATTACCTGCAGGTCGATTTTAGCAAAAAGATCTGAGATTCTTCATAAAAACTTAGTTTAAAAAAAAAAAGAAGTTTTGTTCTTTCTAAAAACAACTCTGTACACATAAGCTTGTGCTTTTGAACACGTACTCGCACAGTCCAGCTGCCGTGTTGCTTAGATCACACAGCGACCCACATCGCACTATTTCACAAGTGCAGTTTTTGTTTCTCTCTTCGCGCTCTGCCCTAGATCTCACAATCGTCGTCACAACCGAGACCCGTCCTCGGAGTCTACTTGGTTCACGAGGTACCGACTGGACCAGACGGAAGCATCTGAAGGGACCTGCGAGGCTTTGTAGTAACAGCTTTATGCCTCGGCTGGTTGTCAGTAATAAATAAATAAATACTTCAGGGGTATGTCAGGTCTGAGCTCGTGCTCAATGACCCGTGTCTGATCCCTGAACCTTGCTGTTGAGCCAGGACACGCTGACTGCTGGTTTTATGTGGCAGTCAGTCTATTCGGTTGCCACAGATGGTGAAGCGGTCTATTTCCAGCAAATCTTTCTTGGGCGTTCGGTGTTCAAGTCTGTCCCCTTCCAGTCCCGTGTTGGCGTTGATGATTTTGTCCTCGTCCTCCTCGTCCGGCGTGGTCAGGAATGCGTCCGAGTCGCTTTTGGGGAGCGTTGGGGCGGAGCTCTCTGCCGTGTTGGCAGGCGGAGAACTGTCTGCTGCCAGTGATGTTTCTCCTTTGTCGGTTGTGGGTTCTAAGAGAGAGAAAGTGGTAGATATTATTACAAGAAGCAGGGGGAACATCCATCTATCCATACATACAAAGTACAATCATAGTACAGCCAAAGTACAACCATAGTACAGCTAAACTGCAAGCATAGTACAGGTTACCAACTGTAACTAGTCACGGCCGGTCTGACAAGCTTTTATTTACCTTTTTATTTTCACATGAAAGCTAACCTTATGCAACGTTAAAATCTAAAACGCACTGTTTGAAACATAAACAAGCCAAGCAGCCAAACAGGTCTATGTTTGAATGAGCCGACACTGAAATACTGTGATAACAACAATGCTGTTTCTTTATCTACATATCTGGATCATCCACTGGTGAAGATGATGACTTTTCCAGGGATGTGCAGCTTGAGCCTCAGACTTCCAGCTCAATATCATGAATGCAGTCATCAAGTGCATGCTTAAGACCAACTTAACAGGTCAGCTGGAAACAATAAAAACATAGCGTCTTCAACGTAGCCAACTGTCTTGTCGGCTACGCTGTGTGTAGCATTATTGCCCAAGACAAGAACGTCTTCTCTTATCTTAACTACGAGGGCGGGATTTTGGATCTACTAAATACTGTATTTAGTCGTTTAGCAACATAGAGATAGAGAAAGTGCCACCTTGCTGTGTTGCAGTGGGAACGTGTTTGGTGCGGTGAGCTCTGGAGTTTGCGCGGCTGGAGACAACGGAGGGTGGAGGATCGAAGAGCTTTTCTTCCATGTTGGCCTCTTTGACAAACGCACAAGACGTCCCCAGCAGAACGATACTGTTGAGCACCTTCAGAGTGATCATCCTGCTCACAAACACACAAAACATGAATATGTGAAAAAACTACATAAGAAACCCAAAACACTGCAAATGTGTTCAAAACCTGGAAAAGAGCACTTGACATTTACCCCAAGTAAAACAGCAGCACACACATACAGGAGAGCGAACCCTGGACCTTCACTGAGCTGGTTACTACTCTGATCAACTGAAGAAAGAAAGAAACAAATCATCAGATAAGTGATGAACACACACAATATCAATAGGATATTTTCATAAGCAGTGACTGACCAGCAGAGCTAGAGGAAGGGGGATGAAGCCCATTCTTCTGGATACTGAGTCACTGTAGTCTGTGTAAGCCTGGAGGCACATTTAAAACAACAACAATCAACACGCTTCTTCTTCCGCAACCAATGCATTAGTCATTACATAACAATATTTAATCAAATTAGGAAAAACAAGAGGAAATTTCCTCAATATTGTAAATATCAGTGTCTGTTTGGCATTCTGTCTCTAAACAAAAGTTACTAATATCCTGACTTAATTTGACCCGTGCAATTAGAGAAAGTGCAGATAATTTTAATTAATTTACATAAGACATATTATGTCCTTTTACATTCTCTTTCAGGAGCATGCCGCATCAGAGTTTGGTTATATAAGAATGACGATATACAGTATAAAAACACATTATTTTAACGAAGTACAGTGTTTAAGACAAGTATGAATCCTGTTCCTGTGTCCCCAACAGGCGACCCCACATTGGATCCTGAGCCCAAGTTTGAGAAACAGATTCTAGTTTAGAGGACAATCTGATATTTGAACTTATTTTACTCACATTTTTCTGTCGACTGCTGACGAGGTCAAAGGCCAGGCTGGCTCTGTATTCTCCGTAAACCTGGAAAAGGACACAACCGGTAACACACCACTAGTCAGCCAATTTACAAATATCAAACAAATATACACAGTTATTGATATTGTTGAAATGTCAGGAGTATCTGATTATGTTTATCACGTATGTGTTAATATCTAGGGAAGGTACAGTATGAATGAAATAAGTCAAATTGAATTTTGATAAAGCCGGCGTAAAAAGACAAAAGGTCCATAGCATGATTAAAGTGAGCGAGCGTGGACACGCAAGAGCTTGAACGCTCGCTGAGTGCGAGTGTGTGATTGGGTTTGACACTTTAGAGATAAAAGGGGTTAATCCCTTCCTGTGGTGTTGGTTTCCGTTACATAAGCAAAGTAACAACTCCTTGAAGGAAATCAAAACGAGAGAGAACAAACCACCAGGTTGTAAAACACACCTGGTGTAAATCAGTGGAGTGGAACAGAATAGAGTCTGCGGAGATCAAACATTCATTCACCTTTAACAAGTAGATGAACAAAATAATCTGAATTTAAGGTCCACTGACGAGCTTTTTCCTGAGCTTTCGACTGCATTTCACTGTCTTCGTCAGCAGATGGATTTTTGCTCAGTGTCAAGCAACCACATCCAAAACTGTCATTGTTAGATATCGCTACAAGCTGTTGAACCCCTGCCATCAAATGCCAAAAATCTAACTTTTTCAGGGTCACAGAGAGATCTAGTGTGGTGCCACTTTGTCATTAACTTTTTTGTGTTGCAATATCGATATTTATTAATGACAATAGTGTGGCTTTGAATGTACTGTCAACATGGTACCGATACAGTACATGGCATGCCTGGTTAACAGATGTAGTGACTCGGCTAAAAGCCTGTCAGTACAAAATGTAAAAAAAGTCTATTAACTGGGCCTTCTTTATCCACCGATGAGGACTGTAAGACGGACCTGTAATAACATTAATATCAATGTGCTCTTCTTGGTCGACATGTCTTTTAAAACAACAGCATTGCTCCCTCAGCCGTCACACTTACATGTAACCACAACCTGACGGATAAACTGTGAAAGTATGCACGCAAAGAGGGACTCACATCAGCACTGATGTCATTGAATTTGGTGATGAAGGCATGCTTCACAACGTCCACGGCAACCTCTGAGGCTATCACCATGATGACGTCAGGAAACAGCACCCACAAGTGGTCTAAAAACAACGATAGAAACTGGTTAGTGTCAATAGAACATGAGTTATACATGACAGTTCACTGCTGGGCCACACTCAGAAGCGTGATGTAACGTCTGTCATGTAGATAAAGCAGCGTTGTATATCTCAGTGATGCTACATTATATCAGCGCTGCGTTAGGTACCAGGGTTCCATGAGAACTGCTCCATGTTTCTCAGACAGACGATGAGCAGGAGGATGTAGTTGGTGAACCTCTCTTTTATGTCTGTGGGAAAAAAACAAAAACAATCCTGGATTAACCTACTTTGAACTCACTGCAGCTGAGCTCGATTCCATAAATTTACCTTGTACCAAATCACCAAGTTCAAGGGCTGAGTTACAAAATATCCAGACCGCTGATTTTGCTCCACGTATTTTTTTTGAGGTATCATTCAACACTAACCACTGTTGGACATCTGGAAGAGGTTGTTCTTTTCAAACTTCTTGAACACGCTTCCTTTGATCTCCACAAACTGCAACAGAAAAAAAACAAAAGATCATGTCTGAGCTCATGCAGCACGTCCTTTTAAGCGAGTTAAATGTTTCTGTGTGCATTACACTCACGTTGTTTGACATCATGATGGTGAGCAGGGACTTGTTGTGGGAGTTGAACGCTACGTTTAGAGTGGTGGCCTGAACCATGATGAGGATGGCATGGAGAACTAGACACAAACATTGCTGAGGAAAACATTACGCTGAGGGCTACAGTAAAGCAAATCATGCCACGTGTTCATTCTGATGTGCGTCCACTATAATGCACGTTCAAATCGTCTGAAGTAAAGCTGTGTGACGTTGCAACATTATTGATTCATCAGCAGATTATTTGCAATAAATTGACTCGATGTTTCGTCAATAAAATGCACCACGCAAGTGAAACATGCTTCTCAAGGCCCAAGTTGACAGCTTTAAATGTATTTTGTTGTCTGACCAATAGTGTAAAACCTAAAGATGTTTGATTTACTATCACAGAAGACAAGAAGAACAGTAAAAAAGAAAAACACTTAATTAACCCATAATTCTTTTCATGTAAACTAAGAAGATCATCTGCCAGTTTACAGTTACAAACACTGAGAAATTAACATTTTCCTGTCATCCCAGACTGACACATTCTCATGCATGTACGTACTACTACATATGTGTATGCGTGTAGGGGAATACACGCGTAGACAGGTCTCTCTCAGTGAGGATACAGACGTAGAGCACAGCCATGAAGAAGTGAGGAATCACGCCTATGTGCGCTCTCTTCTTCTCCTTAGGTTCGGTGGCCGTCCAGTACAGAGCGTCCAGGATGTCCTGACCGAATGATGAGAACAGGCGGTCCGCCACCTGACGACACAACAGGGGGAGGCCGAGAGGAGGCAAGAGAGCGGATGAGTTGGTGGCTCACTGTACGGTACGTTCAAGAGCTATACACTTTATTATTGCAGTATCGTCCGTGTGTACCTCTAACATGTTGTATATGATGTACAGCTTGATGACAGACTGTCCCCTGATAAGGTGGTACATCATGGAGTAATCCACGTAGCTCATCATGGAGTAACACAGCACCATGATGAAGCCTTTCAGCACATCACACACCTGAGCTGGCTGGAGCAGGCGGGAGCCACTAAAACACACAAAAAAACAAAATTACACACGGAAGAAGTCTGGAGAAGAAAAAGAAGAAACAGAAGAGGTTATCGTCCGTTTGAACAAAATCTGAAGGAGCTCTACTGCCCCCAGGAGGTTAAGAACAGCGTTGCACTGATCGCTTCTGTTTACAAAAGTTGATATTAACACGAGAAAGTATTTACCAAATCTGTGTGTATTAATACCGGACTGCAAGTAACCATTTTTTTTAAATTGACCAGTAAATATTTGGTCAATCATATTAACAGTTCAAAATTCAAAGATATTCAATTTACAGTGTTGTCAAAATAGAGAAAAAGGAGCCAATCCTCACATTTGAGAAAGTGAAAACAAGAGCTTTTTGCTTGATAAATGACTTGATCTCGACATGACTCAATTATCAACATTGTTTGTTCATTTTCAATTGATCAACAAAAAATGTATAGACTAATCATTTTGATTGACAAGCGCTGGTTTGTACAGATGCACAGACACATTCAGGCGAAGGGTAAACTTTCCCTTTAGAGCTCAAATATTCAGTCAACTGAAGATTAATATGCAACTTTTTTGGTGATCTCTTAATGGTTTAAGTAGTTCTTTAATAACTAACATTTGATGGTTCCATGTGAGGATTTGCTGCTTTATCTTGTAGCACATTACATGAAACTAAATATCTTCATGCTGGTTTCGTTTTAATGACATTTTTTTTACTATTTTCTGATGTTTTCTAGACTCAATAATTCAGAGAAATTAGGCAGATTTAATAATATTTGCAGTCTCCCTTTATGACTTCAATTTCACAGAGGAAGGACATAATAGGTCTTTGTTGAAAGACCTAATTGGGGTGTATATTCAACTCTATGAGCGCTTTAATGTGGCCAATGATCAATTGAAGAAACCTATTTTAATTTGCATACCTAATACCCAAATATATACTTCACCTGAGGCCACAGCAAGGCAACGTGAGGAGCCGTAAAAGGGCCAGAATCACCCTGAGGGGCAGCAGGGTGAACACGTAGAGAAAGGCATCCAGACAGAGGAAGAAGCCGAATGTCATCAACTAAAGAGAGAGAACGAAAGTCAGACACACAGAAGGAGAATATTAATTTATCTGTGACTTGTACAAAGAAATCTCTCAGTAAATTGTTGGTGTGTTTACCTTCTCCAGCTCTTTGGGGATGCGGAGGCATGTGTAGACCCGCTCTCTGCGCTCAGTGTATTTGGCCTCATTGTGTTCCAGGAAGTATCCTCTGGTCAGCTCAGTGGTTATAAATCTGACCAGAGACAAGTCTAGAGCCAGAATTGGGGAAGAAGGCAAAGCATTAAACACACACACACACACACACACACACACACACACACACACACACACA